TCTATGCAGATGAAGACCCAGCTGCAGCAGCAGCAGCAGCAGCAGCAGCAGCAGCAGCAGCAGCAGAGGAAGATACTGATGGTGTGATAGAGGAGATAAAATGTATAATAAAAGAATGTGCAGATGATGATGAGAGATATATAAAAAGTTTTTATTCTCCTTTATCTGTATTTAATAAAAAAATAAATAAAATAGAAAGAGCTTGTGTGTTGCTGCATGCGTTTTGGGGCTTTATAAAAACGCATGCAGAGACAGATAAGAGACAATCTGTCGCCTCTCTTTGTCGTTTTTGTTCTTTATCTTCTTTTCTTTTGCCTCCTGCTGCAGCATTCTCCTCTTCTTTTTGTTCATGCTCTGCTGCTGCTGCTGCTGCTGCTGCTGCTGATGCTTCTGTTTCTTTATATAATAGAGAAAGAGAGACAGAAAAAGGAGACAAAACACAACAACAATATATTGAGGGACTGCATGCGCTTGCTGCTGCAGCAGAATATAGTTTAGCCTGTCTCCTTGGGGGGGGCCGCTATATAAAACCAAAAATATATATAGGAGAGAGAGAGGCAATAGAGCTTGTGCCGCATATAAAAAGCAGCAGCAGCAGCAGCAGCAGCAGCAGCAGCAGCAGCAGCAGCAGCAGCAGCAGCAGGGGCAGGAGCAGGAGCAGGAGCAGCAGCAGGAGCAGCAGCAGGAGCAGCAGCAAGAGCGTCAGTGCAGCAGCAGAGAGAGCTGAGTTGCTGCTGCAGCAGCTGCAGCAGCAGCTGCATGCATTGCCTACTTTATTCTCTCATATAATGGATAGAGAAAGAACAGCAGAACAGAGGATGGTGCTGCTGCTGCTGCAGCTGCGGCTGCTGCTGCATGCATGCAAATGCATGCGGGAGCTTACTCTTATAACTACCCTCAGCAGCAGCGCAGCAAAAGACATTGTGCTGCTGCTGCTGCGGCTGCTGCTGCCGCAGGAGAAAGAAAATATATTAAAGAGGCAGCAGCGGGTGCAGCAGCAGCTGCAGCAGCAGCAGCAAGTCGAGGAGAGAGAGCAGCAGCACCAAATTATACTTTTCTTGCAGCAGCAGCAGCAACCGCAGCATGTGCTGCAGCAGGTAGGGGCAAGGAGGAGACAAAGACACAAAGAGATAGGTGACCTTATAGACCCTACATATTTCCACTGGTTGCTGCTGCTGCTGCAGTCTGCTGCTGCTGCTGCTCTCCTAAACATAGTCGAGCTCTGGCCCCCTGCTGCAGCAGCAGACATGCAGCAGCACCCGAACCCTTTTGCTGCTGCTGCAGCACATCAGCAGCAAGCTGTTAGACAGTATCATATGGTCGTCACCAGCAGCAAAAGTAAACGCGAAACACAGCAGCAGCAGCAGCAGCAGCAGCAGCAGCAGGAGGAGGAGGAGGAGGAGGAGGAGCAGCAGCAGCAGCAGCAGCAGCAAGGAACTCTGGTCAGTCGACGAGCCCGCCAGCGGCATCCGCATCATCAGCAGCACCAGCAGCAGCAGCAGCAGCAGCAGCAGCAGGAGCAGGAGGAGGAGGAGGAGCAGCAGCAGCAGCAGCAGCAGCAGGAGCAGCAGCAGGAGGAGGAGACTGCTGCTGATGAGAGTATAAAAGCAATAGAGATGGTTGCTGTCTCCTCTCGTCTTCGTGCTGCTGCTCGTGTTTACTTTGCTGCTGCAGCATTTAAGGAGTTTCCTTTCTGCTGCTCTGCTGCAGCAGCAAGAAGACTAGCAGCAGCAATGCATGCAGACCTCACTGTGCTTCGTGTTGAGATACGCATGCAGCACCACCCCCTGCAGCAGCAGCTGCAGCAGCAGCAGCAGCAGCAGCAGCAGCAGAAAAAGAAAAAGATAGTGGGTATTGCTTGTCTCTCCTCTGCATGCAAAAGGAGACAGTTGGTTGTGCAGCTGCTGTGGGCCCTTGCTGCTGATCTGGGTACTCTATGTTCCTGTCCCCTGCAGCAGCAGCAGCAGCAGCAGCAGCAGCAGCAGCAGCAGCAGAGGGAAGAAGCAGCAGCAATAATAGCGAGAAGAAACCCTAACATGCTCAAGCTGCTGCTGCAGCTGATGACGGCAGCAGCAACAGCAGCAGAAACAGAAAAAAAAAGACAAAAAAAAGAAAAAATAAAACAGCAAAGGATGCAGCTGCAGCAGCAGCAGCAACGACGTCAGTATCAGCTGCTGCAGCAGCAGCAACTACTGCAGCAGGAGCATGCAGAACTAACAGCAGAGAACGGCAGCCTGCAGGACCTGCGAGAGCAGCTAGAGAGGCTGCTGCTGCAGCAGCAGCAGCACGAGCAGCAGCAGCAGCAGCAGTACCGGAGGATCAGGGGAGAGGGAGGGGGCAGGAAACGAAGCCTGCAGCAGCAGCTGCAGCAGCAGCAGCAGCAGCACCAGCAGCAGCTGCAGCAGCACCAGCAGCGGCAGCAGCAGCACCGGCAGCAGCACCAGCAGCAAATGCAGCTGGAGCAGCAGCAGCAAGAAGAAACAACCAGAGCACTGCAGCAGCTGCTGCGGCCGCGGAAGCGCTTTCGACGCATGGGTGCAGCACAGCAGCAGCAGCAGCAGCAGCAGCAGCAGCAGCAGGTTGGCGGCTGTGGCACTATACAGGAGTGGCAGCAGCAGCAGCAGCTGTTGCTGCAGCAGGAGCAGCAGCAAACACAACGACAGCAGCAGCTTTTAAGCCTCATAGAGGAGGAGTTCGGGGAGGAGCTGCAGCAGCACCTGCAGCAGCGGCAGCAGCAACTGCAGCAGCGGCAGCAGCAGCGGCAGCAGCAGCAGCAGCAGCAGCAGCAGCAGCAGCAGCCGCTCTTGACCCCCCACGAAACCTCGCTGCATCTGCAGCAGCAGCAGCAGCAGCCTCCCCCGCGGCGGCAGCGTATGTTGCTTTGGCCTCAGGAGCAGCGGCAGCAG